GATAATATATTTAACACCAAAACCCAACCAAAAAAAAAAAAAAAAAAAAAAAAAAAAAAAACAAAGAAAGAAAAAACCTGAACCGCATCCACTTATTAGGCTGATGCAAAACCCAGTTTGCATTACTGTAGTATGGCTACTAACTGTTCTGAAATATATAGGGCCTAGGGGTGTGTGTGCGTGTATTATGGATGTACATATATTATGTATGGACTGTGAGGGTTAGCTGGAACTATGTTATATCATGAGGTAACACAAACACAGGCCCGTTTGTTTCATATATTCAAACTCAAATCATTGATTCTTCTACTTTTCCTTTCACAAAAAAATTGAATTTCAAACGTGAGAATAAAAAATCATGGTTTAAGTATACCTTCTAAATGGGCATTCACTGAGTTTTCTCTGTTTATCAGTAGTCTCTGATCCTTGGAAGTCCTCTGCAGTTTTGTCTTATTGTTTCTTTTAGATTTGATAATGTAAGCTTAATGCTTAAGTTTCTATGGTTATTTTATTTTATTTTATTTTATTTTTTCCAGGAACTACTGTTTCCAGCTATTGAGATAGGCAGGCGTCTCCAAATTCTGGCCTCATGGGAAGACCCTTACAAATCAACAATGTTTCTGGTGTTGACCTGCTACTCTATTTTAAGGTTTGTCACATATATTTATGAGATTGACGCACTATTCCTTTAAGTCAGTCATTTCTTTGACCTAATAGCCTCTGAAAAGCAATAATGTCATCAATTTTGATGCACAGGGGCTGGACCAGATACATATTGCCATTCCTTCTTCTATTTACTGCAGTGCTCATGATCTGGCGCCGGCAGTTTAACAAAGGGAAGCCATTGGAACCCTTCAGAGTTACACCTCCTCCGAACCGGAATGCTGTAGAGCAGCTGCTGACATTACAAGATGCCATCTCTCAAGTTGAAGCGTTGATTCAAGCTGGGAATATCATTCTCCTAAAGTTAAGAGCTGTCCTGTTTGCTGTACTTCCACAGGTACGAAAATACTCCCAGTTAATTACCATCGTCTCTGATCATGTTAAGTTGGGAAGACTTATTGGTTTATGGCTTCGGTTTTTGTTCTTTTGTTTGGGTCATGGTTGTGTAACTTTATAGTGATTTTGTTTTAGTACGTTATGTTATTTCCTTGATTTGTTTGATGGATATCTCGTCCATCTTGATTCTATTTGTATTTTGTTATTTTATTCTTTTGAATAGAATTCTCAGTTTCTTATTAAAAAAAAAAAAAATACCATATGCAACATCTAGTCAGTTGAACCTTTCGAGGTCCCGTCTTCCCTTTATTTAGTAGATCTTTAAATACTGGCATTTTCTTAACCATTGTGTGAACTGCGCAATATGATCTACAACATGAATTTCACTATTTGAATGGAAACAGATAACAGTTTTAATGTGTCATCTGTCGCTTTAATATGCAGGCAACGGACATGGTTGCACTATTGCTTGTTGTTTTGGCTGCCGTTTTTGCATTTGTGCCTCTTAGATATATTATTACTCTAGTATTCCTTGAGGTTTTCACGAGGGAAATGCCTTATAGGAAGGAAAGCAATGACAAGTTGGTGAGGCGTGTTAGGGAATGGTGGATCAGGATACCCGCTGCGCCGGTTCAACTCATTAAGCCTGATGATAACAAGAAAAAGAAATCATAGATCCTGAGGACAGTGTCTCATATTCAAAATGTAATGTGGACAGTAAAAATGGTCCTTTGTCACAGTAAACTTAGAAGGATTTTAGCCTGAAATTTCTTGGAATTTTGGTTCCTTGATATCAAATATGATGTCAACATTTTAGGGATGCACAGTTCATTCTTTCTTTGTAGAACATGTTAAGGAATACAATGCTCAGTTGAAGACAATCGTGAGCTTTGAAAATTAGAATGACAAAATAACATGGATAATTGACTATAAGCCTCGTGTGTTTAATTGATATTTAAGAAATACTGATATAATTCTTATAGCAATTAATGCTTTTTCAATGTCTAACACGTGTTGGCTCCGTGTATAAACGAAATAAATGTTGTGTCCATGGGATAGCAAATGAAATAAAAGATACGGTTCGGTGACGTAGAACACAAGCAATAGTTTCCTATTTTACACTTCCTATGCTAAAGTTTCTATTTCAGTCTCTCCTAATCTTGGATTTATTTGTTTCCCATTTTGTATTTTCTTTATATTTTGTAATGTTTGTGGTTGATTTAGTTTCCCGTTTTTAGCCTAAATTTGTCTATTTAAACACCCCAAGTTCTTTTAGTTTGAGATAAGCTATCAATAATATTATCAAAGGTTAAGACAAAGTTCCTTGGAGTGTTTTCCCTTTTACATGTTTGTTTCAAACACAAATCTCGTTGCATCAACATTGGCATCCGAGCAAGGATTTTCACTTACTAATTACTAAGGATGGTGGCAATGGGAAACAACCAGTCGATATCAAATGGAGATTTGAAAACATAGATCAATGGCTTGACGGGTTCGAAGAAAAACTAGCTGTGATGGCTATGAGAGTTGGAGGTGAACCTCGGGGTGGAAGCCAAACCTCGCCGAGCAACCACCCAGACCAGGTGACGAAGACCCATAGTCGAACATCATGCCAGCGAATGGAAGGTACAGAATCAACCACGTGACTGCCTAAAAGTGGATTGGGCAAATTTGAAATACCTTGTTCACAATAATTGGATCTATTGGTATGGCCTGAATGTGTCACAAGTCCGCGTCTACCAACAACGGCGCCAAAACCCAATTGCAGCCTTTTTTGATAAATTTTCTGGCGAAGAATATGATGATATGGTTATAGCCACGAGTGTTGGATGCGCGAAGAAAGAAAAAAAAAAAAAAAAAAAAAAAAAAAAAAAAAAAA